TAGTGAGATTAAGTGTTGTAAGATTATTGGCTTCCTTGATCGCGATGACCTTCAGTTACCAATTCCTAGTAAGACATCTCAAAACTTTGTCAATAATAATTGAATTGGAAATTGGCTTACCTAGTGCGTTCAAACGATTAATGAGATTTATTGTATTTTTCTTCTCATAATTATTTCATAGTGCTTCCGACTTAGGTGTGACAATGCCATTAGCATCGGTTTGAGTAATAACATCACACATACCCTTGTTATATGAATTAATCGGAATATGCATACAAGCTTTCCAATAACTATAGTTTTCTCTCGAAAAGATTGAGGTTGTTTTGTAATCCCCTTTAGGTTCGTACACCATTTTCTAATAAAATTTTTGAAGCATGGAATTAATCGTTTCTCTGATACCACTTGTTAGACTATGGTGACTTATCTAGAGGAGGGTGAATAGATCATCAAATAAAAATGACCTTTCAAAATAGGTATTTAAAAACTTATTTGAAAAACAATGTTGAGCGGAATTTTTTTGGCCTAGATCAATATAGAAGTCTAAACGAACCTAGTTATTGGAAACTCGGATATGCACAAGCCATATGGAATTAAGATAATGATAAAATCAATCAACATAATTATATATATCAATTAATAGTATAATATCAAACACAAAGGTTTCCTATTTCTAATGAAATTTAAACAAAATATAGAACATTGCAATTTGTAAAATACTTTGTGTGTGTTCGACTTTTCAGAATTTTTCTTTTGAGTTGTGTTGATATGAAAACCACTTATAATTAAAGTGATTATAGCTAATCAATACACCACTTTAAATAAAATAATTGTAGAAAAATTGTTACGAGTCAATCGATCAGACAATGATATTTGACAAAAACTAACAAAATAATTTGTCGAACACTTGGTGTGCAACCAAGTTTCAAAATTTTCCTTTGAGTTGTGTTAATACACAAAATCATTTATAATCAAAAGTTATATAAGCAAATCAACACCTTAGTTCAAGCAAAACAGTTTAGGAAAATTCCTACGAGTCGATCGATAACATAATGCTATTTGACAAATTGATTGATGAGAATTAAAGCAAGTAAAAACGATAAGAAAAAGCACATGAGGATTTTTCTACATGGTTTCCCACTTTCATCCTCACGTGTGGGTACATCTACGCCCAATTCCAATTTGGAATTAGGATATTTTCTTACTTCACAAAAGTATGATTACAAGAGAAGTGTTCAAGAGCAACCCTATAAACTATAACCGTTTAATATTGATTCAACCCCTTATCTTCTTTTAATCTTCAACAAGACCAAGACACAATAGTTGCCAATTGATTATCCAAATCTTGTTACTCCTTTGCATACTTTATCTCTAAAGCTTTCGCGCACCATCAATTATACCTATTTCAACACAAGACTTCAGTTCGATTTGCCGTTCTCACGCTACTTCCTTTGCGTTCTTTATCTCCAAAGGGTCCTTTGCATTCTTTTATCTTCAAAGGCTTTCACTAGGCCGCAATACTCTCTTGAATGTCTTGCACGAAAACCCCAAAATTAACCAATGATTTTGGAGGAAAAACCTGCGGTTTTTCGGAATGAAGACCCCTGCAAATCTCAACCCAATATTCTTGGCTACACAAGAATCTAATTGGACGTTATCGAACCTCGCCTAGATGACACCCCAACAAAAGATTATTATGTGTGATTTGTTAGTGTGTATGCATAGGTTGGAGGTTGAAGGTGAAAAGCAATAGCAGGATATTTTATGGTATCATCAAGTTGGAATGACGCATGAATGATGTATTTATAGTTATGGAAGTTTTATGGTAAAAGAGGGAAATTTAGAATTAAAAGAAAATAGAAAATTTGACCCATGAAACAGTATGAGCCAACCTGTAACTTACATGTGTCGGCACATAGTGTTAATTTTAGCAGCATGTGGCAGCCTGAAATGATTTATGAGACGGCCTGAATAAGACAGAGGAAACTACTTATTTAGAACAGTACATGAGCCGACCTAAAAGGATACATGAGATGGCCTGTGTGAGGCAGTGGCACAACCTTAAATATGTGAGTAATGAGCCGGCCTATGAGGCTCTATGAGTCGACCTGTACAGGCATGTGCAGTGCAGAAAATGATTTTTGATGATTGGAACACTTTTGACTATGTTTCAAATGATTCCTAAGACCTCTAAATATATAAGGTGTCACACAAACTCAGAGATACCGCTCAATACACATAAATGCTAAATTTTCTTAGTTTTGACATCATACAAAATATCTAATGGTGAAGTTGCACTCAGATTATTTGCTTATTTCAATTAATACACAAATTTAAAAATAAAAATAATAAAATATTGATCCTAAATATAATTAATCAAATCGAAATAAATTAATTAACTTCAAATCGAATTACTATTAAACTAATTTACTATTATTTTATCTGAATTAATTAAATAATTTTAAAAATTAATTGATAATTTAATTTTAATTAATTAAATAATTTTAAAAATTAACTGATAATTTAATTTGAATTAATTAAAAGTTTAATAATTAGTTGAATTACTATTAAATTAACTAATTATTATTTAATTTGAACTAATTTGAAACAAATAAATATTTATTTATGTGTTATTTAATTTCAATTAAATGTTCTTTAATTTATTTATATTTGATTAATTATATTTAGGATTTTTATATTTAATAATTTATTTTTAAATTTGTGTATTATTTGAAATAAATAAATATTTATTTATATATTATTTAAATTAAATAAATAAATATTTATTCTAAATTATCAAGTTGAATATTTTAGAAATATTATTAATAATTATTTGAAGATGAAGTTCTATTATAATTCTTTATGGTCGGAGAAATCAAACTAAGTATTTATCTCGAAATATTTTTATTTTCTTTTTAGCATCAATTTTCTGTTTCTTGAAACGTGTAGCTGGAAACGACACTCCTTTAAGACCATGTATATTTTATAGTAAATTAATTTTTTATTTATTTTTATTTTTATTAAAAATTTATAATTTTTTTCTTTATAAATAAAGACTTGGTTCATTATATTTGGACAAGAAAAAAATTGAGATTTTTCTCTCTAATTTTTCTATTTAACCTCCAATAAACTCTAACTTGTAGCTCTAGACATCTTTTTAGTAAAATAGATCCCAATGATAATCCTTTTAACATTCAAAATTCTACTAAAATATAAAATTAGAAAAATAAAATTCAAATAAGTTATTAAATTAGAAAAAAATTAAAATAAAATTATTTAACTCTTAATTATTTTAATTTAATTTCAATCGATAATTATTATTAATATATAATCACAAAAACAAAAACATAAAAGAAAATAAGATATGAAATAAAAGTGGTGGAATATGGTGTTGAAATTTATTAAACAAAATCATTATAGTAAGTAAAGGTTGAATGAATGTTGAATTATCATGTGGAAGAGAAAATATGAAGTGAAGTGTAAAAAGTGAAAAAGGAGGGTGTTGAATCCATGAACCATTGTACATAGTCTAAGACCATGCATAGATAACCCACCATGAAGCAATTTCTATCAAAGCTATGAACTAGGGTTTCTACACTAAAAAGGGAAACAATATTAAATTGATTAAATAAAATAAAAAAAAATAAAATACTTTTTTTATTCATTTCCTAATTAAAGCTCACCTCAATAATATTTTAAAGTTCTAAAACATTCTAAAAAGCATTACAAATAACAATAATATAAATTTTACTTCTAATTAATCATAATCCTTACTCTATCACCATCTCTAATATTTCTCAAATTTGCGATTCAAAAAATTGTTTTTGAAGTGTTCGATGAAATGCATCAGTTAAAGGAATCACTAACAATCATGTGTTTTTTGTAAGTACACTTTGTAACTTTTTTATTCCGTTCAACTTCATTATGATTTTGGTGTTTATGTAATAGTTGTTGTAACATAAATCGATTAAATCACATTTATAGCCTATGAAAAAAAATCAATTTAAAGGGTATTTGAAGTGTTTCTACCATAGATTGGAATTGTAGCTATTGTATATTTTTGTCTTAAGATTAGGGGTGGAAATAGACCAGGCCGATCTACAGAGGCCTATGATCTAGTTTATTTGAGGTTAGGTTAAGCCAAACTTATTTATTAAAAAGAATAAATTTAGGTTTTTTTAAAAGCCTATTTAATTAAATAGGTTAGACCTAAGTTATTAAAAGAATTTATGAAGTCTTATAGAACATTCTATATTTTCTATATATATTAAAAATAGTCTAAATAGGTTGGTCTATATATGTATATATATTAGAAATAATGTTAAATAGGCTTTTATATATATATATATATATATATATATATATATATATATATATAAAAGAAAAAATGCTAAATAATTTGTATATGCATATATAGGCCGACCTATAAGACTTCTTAAATAATATGGATTTATTAAAAACGTTAATGAGAAATAAGCTTTCAGGTGAGACTAGTATTTTAAAAGAGTCAGACCAGACCAAACAAATGAGTCTATATATATCATAGGTTAGACTCCGACCTTCTAAGTTTATCGTAGACCAGACTCGAGCTTTATAAAATCTAGTCTAACCTAACCAAATTTCACCCCTACTTAGAGGGTTAAATGTTACTCATTTCTCTTTGATAGACATGTTTTACCTTGAGAAGCAAGATTGAACGGAGCATTGCGATGGTTTCGAGAAAAGGAGTGAAACAAACTATGCAAGAGATGCTCTGGCCTCTAGTGCTTTGATGAGCACCGATTTCTTCAATTAGTGTTGTCAAATAGCGACAATTGTGGCACTTTAACATCATAGCAGATTTAGAAAAATTTCTATTGTTTTGAAATACATAATTTAGTGCAAACTGTTATCTAATTGCAGCTAAGGCATATAACACGGTAGCGTACTGAAATTTGAACAAACCACTTATTTTTACTGACAGAATGTATCTTTTCGGCACATTGAGAAAGGTTTCAGTTTCCTCATGTGACATTCAAAGGATGATAAACAAAAGGTAACAATAAAAGATCATCTTTTCTTCTGACAGTCACTCCAAATTGCTCAGTCATGTCCAATTCTTCACTTTTGGTTCCACTGGGTAGCTTCCAGTCAAAATGATACAACAACATTGCAAGGGCTACCTCAACATTTCTCAAACCAAATGTGATCCCTGGGCATATTCTTCTTCCAGCACCAAAAGGAATGTACTCAAAATTACTCCCTTTATAGTCAATGGTGCTGTCAATGAATCTCTCTGGATAAAACCTCTCTGGCTCAGTCCAGTAGTTTGGATCTCTTGCAATTGCCCAAGCATTGACTATCACCTTAGTCTTAGTCGGTATGTGAAAGCCGTTTATCTCACATGCTTGACCACATTCTCTTGGTAGCAGAAGAGGTGCTGGAGGGTGTAGCCTTAGTGTTTCTTTGACAATTGATTTCAAATAATTGAGTTCATTGATGCGATTTTCGTCAACCTTTCCTTTCATTTTGAAAACCTCTCTTACCTCCTCTTGTGCTTTCTTCATTATTCTTGGCTCCCTTACCATTTCTACCATTGCCCAATCTATCGTGCTTGTCGATGTCTCACTTCCAGCCCCAAAAACGTCCTGAAAAGTCGCTATCAATATGTTCAAGCTTATCCAATAATATTTAAAGAGATATTCATGTAGTGATAGAGAGAATTGAAAAAAGTTAACATACTTACCAAGATTATGGCTTTGATATTGTCTTTTGTTAAGGAAAAATCCTTGTTGCTACCATCCTCATATTTTAAGAGAACGTCTACCAGATCTTCTTCTTCCGCATGACCTTGATCATCTTTGGCTTTTGCGTAACTTTCCCCTTTATGGTCATTGATAATGTTTTCAAATATCTGATCAGTTTGTCGCTGAAACCTCTCAAGCTTAGGCCTCAAACCAGTAACACGTTGTATCCATTTAGCAGAAGGAAACAAATCTCCCAAGTCAAAACCCGCCGAAACCTTTATTGATTCTTTCACCACTGATATAAACTTCTCCTGGTCTTTGCATTTATCGCCAAACGCAGACCTCGAAACAAGAGTATATATTGAAGAAATTACAGCTTCAGTGAGGTTGATCGACGATCCATTCTGCGAAGCAATCCATTTGACAAGATTGGAAAGCACCTCTTCTCTAATCGGTTGCAACGAGTTCACCTGTTTCGGGCTTAAAAGCTCCGACGTGCATAATTTTCGTAACTGTCTCCAATAACTACCATAAGGAGCAAAAGCTATATTCGTGGAATTGTAAGACATTATTTCTGAAGCTAGGAGATGAGGCCTTGATGCAAAGTTAATATCATGGGTTTTCATTACATCTTTAGCACATTCAGGCGATGAAATAACAATAGTAGAAACCTCTCCAAGTTGAAGATGCATCACAGGTCCATATTTTTTGGCCAAATCTCTTAATTTTCGATGAGGTTGAGAGCTTAACAGATTGTGTATATTTCCTATAATCGGTAGCTTTCTAGGTCCTCGTGCTAAGTTATAAGTCGAGTAGTTTTTCTTCTTTCTTATCTTTTGTACTATAAAGATTAAGAGAACAAAGGAGAAAAGATATGCAGAGTAGAGGACTAGTAGACCCATGGCAAAGAAACATACAACTATATCTTTCTAGCTAGTGTTTATATATATATATATATATATATAAACCCTCCATCATTATAATTTTCTTGTTTTTTTCTGATTCTATTTTCTATCGTTATCGTCAATTTGACATATGTTTAATATGATTTCTTTTCATGTTTGGCTTCAGTGCCGGCCTAAGGGCCGGGCGAGCTGGACAATGGCCTAGGGCCTCCAATCTCTTTTTCAATCACTATATTTAATAGTAACACCATGTCAAAACAATATTCAATTGTATTTAAATATTATAATTACCATTTCTGAGCTGCGAGAGTATACATAACTAAAAGTTTAGCAAATTAAGAGTCTTATTAATTGATATTTAAAGATCCTGTTGAGTTCAATGAGATTAGTGACGAAGTTGAAGGGAATAAGATAAGTTTTGAAAGGCTAATAATTTTTCATATCCTTTGTATTGTCACCATCATTGGTAGAAGTTGAATCCTTGTTCTATACAGCCGGCCAAAAAAAAATGTAGGACATTCATTCATCTATCTACTATAACAAAAAACTAAAAATGATTAAACAAATTTAACATGTTTAATTTCTTTATTCATCATAAATGTTTTGACACATCAATAAACCTTTTTTAAAAGTGTGAAATGTTCAGAGAATGTATAAGGTTTGCATTTGCTACATGAGGATCTTTAATTAGTTAACAAATTTTTTTCTTGTTTGCGTGCGTTAAACATTTGCAATCTATTGTTATTAACAAAAAACTTATGAGGATTTTTCAAGCAGAAATAGTACAGCTTCTCTATGTGTAAATAACTTGACAGCAATGACATTCTTGAAGAAGATAATGATTCATTCTAAAATTTAGATTTTTGGCTAGAGGTGTATTAGATACATATTAGCAACTAGGAAGCAGTTGATTCAGGAGAGAGATTCTTTCAGATAGCAGAGATAAAATATTCGTGAATGAATCCTTCAATCATCTTTTGGTGTTTTGTCCATTTTCAATAATGGTGTGGCATAAGGTGTCAATATGGATAGGATGCTTCCGGATAACGCATTGGGGGTTCTAGAGCATTTGTTGTGGTTTAGAAACTCTAGTAGGTAAAATTTGTTATAGGGAGAAGTTATTAGTTTGGTTGACAACATTTTGAGTATTATGGAGAGAAATGTGATATTATTTAAGTCTCAAGTGTTTAATGTAGGGGAGGTTGTGGATAAGGCAAAATTACTTTTGTGGTTTTGGAATGTAATTGGATCAAAATCCAAAGTTTGTGGTAGTTTCCATTTTGTGCACTCAAAGTCCATTAGACTTTCTTAATTCACTCTAATATACTGTATTTGGACTAATACCCCTTATATCCTTATTTATTGTTATAGAAATCCATTGCTTATAAACAAAAAAACAAAAAACTTAGCTGCAAAATTTATTTTGATCAAGATATTTTTTTAATGACAAATTGGTAGTGGTCAATTGTTAATATATATTACACCTTTTAGTATTTGAATCCTCCACCTCTAACTTTTTTTTAACTCTTAATTCAACTATTTTAAGTTAGTTTCATTCCAATTAGAGTCGGAGTTGATTGAAGGAGTGTTTGATCAATATTATTTAGATTCAGAGTCGGGTGAATGGATATTTATCATTCTCAGTTTGAAAACAATCTTTTGAGTTATTGTTGTTTAGTCATTTAGTTAATAGACATGTAAGATTGTCTTGAGAAGAGATATATGAAATGCAATTAAGATCAATATTTAATTTTTCTTTGATGAAGTGTTTGTCAACTTTAATATATTGGATTTTGTCATGCTGCAATGGGTTGTGAGCTACGCTAATAATAAATTTATTATTATAATAAAGTTTTAATTATTCAATACTCTTTATTTTCAAATCTTCTAAGATCATTTTCGACATATGAGCTTGCATATTTCTTTTGTCATTCTCTTAAACTCCGATTCAATACTAGGTCTATAGAATATTTTCCCCCATAAAAATACAATATCTTGTATTTGATCTCCTACCCACAATTGACCCCCGCATAGTTGATATAGTATATTTCAAGATCCACACTTTGATTCCATTAAAACAAAATTTCTTTACCTATGGTTCCTATTAAATATTGCATAATTATGATCACAACTTTTACATGAATCTCTTTTGATTGGTGCATGAAATAAGGGTTTAGGATTTTCTATACCAAAAAACACTTGGAGAAGCGGTTTGCATGAGATAAGGATTTAGGATTTTTAGTTTGTTCTTTGTTCATTGTGATCCACTCTATTATCTTATGATATTAGAGTTAGACTGAGTTTAGGTTATTCATTATCAATTACTCATGAACTTTTAAGCAAGATTGGATTGTGTGTCAAGTTGTATATTATTCACCAACCAAAAGCTTTTAAACGTCCATTGACCGGGCAGCGGAACCCCTGGCTAACACTGCGTAGTGTAATCAATCGCCGAAGTTTAGTTTGACTTATTTAATTAACACAATTTTAATTAATAATAATAAAGTGTTTGTTATTGTTGTCTTGTGGTGATCAGTTATGTCCTTAGATTCTTTTATTTTGTTTTTGGGATTTTAAAATACGATTTGTGTTCGTGTCTTTCTCTTAATCTCTTGATGTAACTTCTTTTCTCATCTTATTCCCTCGTATGTAAAACGAGTATTCTTTTATGTAATGTAATGTAATTAAGAAAAGGAAGAAGACAAGATTGAAGGAAGACAACCATGGAGATCTATCTTGGAGAAGTTTAGATCTTTATTAGGTTAGATTAGGTTCTCTCATTGGCTTGGGAGAACAATTACGCCAGGGGTCATAACTGTATATTTTTTTATATATGTTGATGCATGTGTTTGTATGTTGATGCATGTGAGAGACGATTTGTATGTTAAGCCGGTGAGATCAAACTAATATCAAATTACCTAAAAAGGAATATTAAGTTTATGCTTTCCAAGTGTAATATGGTGGCAGAACTGACTGTTATACTAGTTTTGCATTTTTTTTATTCGCAAATGTTGTGGTAAGCAAGAGTCACCACCGACTTCTCTTTTATCCAACAAAGGAAAGGGTGAAAAGAACAGAAAAAGACCTTTCGAGATTATTTCTGTGTAAGGGGGATAGATTATGGAAAGGAAAGGTGTTAGAACCCTTTCCATCCGTATTTATCTACGGCCTCTTAGATGCTAACTCATTTGAAAATACCTTGTGTTTGTGTGTTTGAAAAAGTATTTTGAAAAGACGCCTTAGTGCGGCGAACTTTGTAATGTTTCTCGTGTCATGGAGAACGTATACAAAGTGTCTTTGAAAATATTTTCTAGAAAAGAGTGTATATGTGGAAAATTATTTTATTTGAGCAAGCATCTAAGAACTATCTACCTACTCTAAAGGGTTTGTCCTTTTCCTCTTTTCCTTTAGACAATGCTATCCTACTATTAGTGAGTAGGTAGCCCTATCATCATATATTTTTAAAGGACTAGCGAGGGTCATCGTATGGTCACAAAGGCAACTAGTAAAATATCTTAGTAATTACCCTAGGGTTTTAAGATTTACCGAGGCAACATCGAAAGGGTCATCGTGCGACCACGAAGGCAACTAGTAAGATATCTTAGTAATCACCTTAGGGTTTTAAGATCATTTTACCGAGGCAACGTCAAAAGGATCATCAAAGGACTTATGATCTCTTAAACCAAAGGGTAGCCACTAAAATATCTTACATTCGAGAATCATGACCGTTTATTTCAAAGGCAACAAGTGGAGGCACCTTAGAGGTGCACGTGTGCAAGTGTGTTGTATTCAGTTATATTATCTTGAAAATTAGGGTTAGCTACCGTTTTGTTTTTAATTCTTGTCATGCAATTCTATTAGGCATACATCTAACAGTTCAAAATTAGTGCGGGAAATTAAAACCTAACTATTACATGGTTTTAGGAGGGGGGAAATTACAAGTCCAAAAGGGGATAAAAGCAGTAAAGAAACCCTAATTAATCTATTAGAATTCATGGGCAGATACAATATTAAAAAGGTAATAATGTGGGAAGTAAAATGAACATGCAGGGTTTAAAAAGAACGTTTATTTAAAACCATAAGGAAATCTATGCAAATTAAGAAAAATTCTTTTTTGGTTGTTTTTGTTTATTTTAAGAAAATATTTGAATTAAAATTAATTAAATAACTAAACCTAATCTTAATTAATTAACAAAACTATCAATTATTAATGAAAATAAAAATTAATAAAAGAAAGTTAATTCTACATGTTTTTTATATTTACTAAGAAAAAAAATTTGCAACCTAAATCTAATTGATTTTAAAATGAAATAAAAAGTCAAAATAATTAAATTAATTAATTTATTAAAATTTAATTAAAAACCTAAATCTACATTTTTTATGATTTTTTCTGATTTTTATAATTAAAATAAAATTGGTTTCAAAATATAAAACAATTAAAAAGATAAAATAATTAAAGAAAAGAAAATGATTGGGCCTGATGTATGAAGTAGAATGGGGGGTACGTGTGAAATTCACTAGGCCCAAAATCAGCAAGCCCAATGCCAGCGCGTGGTCCAGTATTGCTAGTTCCTTGAGGCTTTAGTGTGGACTCGCGATCTGGAGCGTCTGATCTGGATTTGATGAGATCTAATGGTGCGGAGATAGGGGTGCATGGTGGGCGTGCTGGGATTTGAAGTACCGGATCTGCAGAGAAAATATGAGAGAAATGAAAATCCAAAACCTGGGGATCAAACCCAGGCTCTCCAGATTTACAAACGCGCGCTTCACCACCAGACCATCTGTTCATTCGTTGATTATAACAATATAATAACATAATATATGAAAATGAAACAGAAATTATTTTAAATAAAAACGCGAACCCAAGTGGGCCCCTATTATTTTGAATGGACGAATCAGGACATTGGGTTATGACACGCAAGCTCCGGGGAGGTCAAACCACCATCTACGGTGGTTGACCACCTTCTTCTCCGGCCAGTAAAAAAACTTAACCTGCG